TATATATATATATATATATATATATATATATATATATATATATATATATATATATATATACACACACACACACACAATATATATATATAGTATTAACTGAATATAAATGTACATATTTACAACACATAGTAAACACATATTCTTAGATACTATGGAAATTTTTTCCCCAGTGAAATTGTTTTTGAAATATTTTTAATTCTAGAATAAGTTTAGTTTTTATAAGATACAGTTGTGCTGCTGACCTCTGGCAATAGTCCTATTTTCTGCTTTTTCTAATTCCTGGGATTTCTTGGTGTAAATGTTGCAAATGATAGTTTTTATTAAAGTTATAAAAGAATAATATTTTTATATAGATTTTGTTAAATTTGTTGTATTTTTGTAGCTTTCTAGTTCTCAGGGAACAATAGAGACTACTCTTCAGGATATCAAAAACAAACTTTCTCCTAATGGTTTACTATCTGATAGCTGGACCAACCAAGATGGCACACATCCAAAAGATAGAAAGTAAGTAGAGTTCACATTTTAATTTGTTATTTAACTTTTAAATCCTGGCATAAATAATTGTTTAGATTAGAACATAGTTGTGCTTTCAATTAGGAGCCAAAATGGGGCTTTGGAATGTACAAGGGGACACACTTGAAGCTTCTTAATTTGTAGCTTTTCCTGGGATTGTTTAGGTATCTTGAACAGTTGCTGGATGTTTCTAGGAAAAGAAATGTTTAAGTTGCAGAAAGTGCCAATTTCATATCCTGGGAGCTTAAAGTCATTGTTTGCCTTTGAATTAAAAGCACTGCACAACAGCATTGTCTTTATATTTTTATTTTATTCTGTTTTCTTCTAGCCCAGAAAGGTTGCAAGTCCTATTGACTTCCATAACAGATATTTATTATCAATTCAAAAAAGACAAAGCAGAAAGAAGTAAGTGGTTTTTAATGAATTTAGTTTTTGCTTTAGCTTCAATTAATTACAAAACATCATTAAATTTCTGGATTGACTTAGTGAGGCAAAAATTCTGAAAGCAAAAAGCATTTTTTTTTCTCTTAAGTAGAAGTACAATTCTAATAAAGGACACTATTGAGAATACCATTCTGTCAGAAAAACAAACAAATGGCCATGGTGTATATAAACTCAGAGTTTTCAATTGAAATAGTATACATGACTAGATTCAAACAATCATACATTAAGGGGAGACCCATTCTCTTGAGAAGTCCATTATGCTGGGAAAAGTAGAAACAAAGAGAAGAGAATTACCAGCAAAATGGGTGAATTAGAGTAGAATAGTAGTGAATGTACAACTGAGATCCCTAAAAATCCAAATGGAGGACAGATCATCCTGAAAAAAGTCTGTGTAGACATAAAGAGTTGACCCCAACTTGCTGGCCCTTAATCAGTGTATTAGTCAGGGGAATTTAATTATGTGAAATAATTTCTTGACCATCCAATCTGATTTAAATGGTTCCTTCTTTAGGACTTCCTTATAACGAAGAACAAATTCACAAATTTGACAAGTAAGTCCATTTATTTTATAAGGATTTTATATTTGTAGTGTACTGTATTTTCTTTGTTTAGTGATTTCAACAATATAATTGGAATAAGTTCTGTGAAGCTAGGGATGAAGTAACAAATGGCTGCCTTTGCTCTGTGTAATATTCCTTTACTCAACAGCCTTTTCGACTGTGTCCATATAAATTATAAAACATATATAAACAACGTGTGTCTTTTGATGTATGCAGAGATTAGAATGAGTCCGCTATATTTTACAAATCTAGGTCTCATAATTACAGAGTTTTAGAAAGGGTGATAGGAAAAAATACACATCAGTCATTGAAGAAAAATCTGGCTCTTCTGCAAATCTGAAGGTTTAGAAGTCTTCATATACATCAAGATTTATTAAATGATAAATTATTATTAAACTTAAACACAATGGTTAAAAATTATTTAACTGGAAAATACCGTGTTTCCGTTGATCCCCTGAAATAAACACTTGGCCTTATTTTTGAGGTGCAGGAGACTGCAAGCATGGTCACCTCATGGCTGCTGCTGTGTTGTAATATTTTGGGGAGGGCTTATTTTGGGAGGAGGGCTTATTTTAGTGCAGTGGTCTCCAACCTTGGCAATTTTAAGACTTGTGGACTTCAACTCCCAGAGTTCCTCAGCCAGCTTTGAGGTCCACAAGTCTTAAAGTTGCCATGGTTGGAGATCACTGTTTTAGTGGATGTGGGGAAACAGGGGTAGCAATATTCTAAAACATCCAACCAAGCAGGAAAATTTAAATGTTCTTTAAATTTTTTTGTTTATTTGCATTTTAGAGCATGCATATCCTTTTTCATGTATTAATTTTTACTTTATATATAATTGAGAAGGGAACAATCTATCTGTCTTGAAAGTTACAGTAGTTCACACTAAAGTAGAGTGAACTGGGCGATTTGGATGGCTGATTGCAACTGCAGCCGCCATAACCCTTCCAGACGCCCTCCTCCTCCCCACTTCCCCTGTGGCTCAGCCTTTGTATTAACATTACCCCCGTCTTCTTCAGAGCCCTGTTTGTCTGGACTCTTTCCCTTGGTGGACTTGGAGAGTTTTTCCTATTGCCTTTTATTAACATTGTGGAGCTTCTGTTTATCCCCTCCGTTGGTCATTTGGCCCTTCTCCAGCTGGGCCTTTAAACATCAATTTGTACCTAACNAGCGCCAAAAAAAGTGTGTTTTTTTAAGAACGGCGCGGGCCGCGGGAAAATTTATGAAAAGGCGTGCCTGTCCCGCCAAATGTGGGACGTCTGGTCACCCTAATCAAGACCCATCCAGGACAGTGTACTTTTCTCTCTTGCCTTGTTGTTGCTTAACCACTCCTTCCTTCCTTCCTTCCTTCTTCCCTCCCTCCTTCCTTCATTCCCTTCCTCCCTTCTCCTCTTCTTTCTCACACATATGCTATCTATTGCAAACAATCTAAGAGAATATTGTTAAAAAATGTTGCAGTTATCATTATATATGTACATCATCTGATTACTTGTGATGTTGAAGCTATTTCAGATATGTCTTCCATTCACATTCAATTACTAATATAATGTAATCTAAAATAAATTTTCTGTTGCTCATTTATGAACACTTGTCTGCTTTCTGCCTAACCTCTATTTTTCTTCTGATAATTTACTAAAATTCCTAGTGCTTGGTTTTAGTTGTAATATGTGAAATTAATCAATATATGATTATCATTTGGAATGAAAGTCTCTTTTTTCAGCAGCCCTAAGTTGTTTCATTATGCAAAAATGAAAAAGACGTATGATACTGTATTAATACAGTTTAAATTTATTGAATCACTTGCCAGATGTAAAGTCCAATGTTGCGTGTCTCTCTGTGTGTCTTATTGTATATTCCTCTTTCTTATTCACTGATCACTGTTTTAAAAATAAGAGAGGTGTCTCAGTCACTTGTGTTGCAGTATTAGAAGACTTCATAAAATATCACATTATATCAATGAAAACATTTCCTCTGCTTCAAGATCAGGAAAATTTAAATTAAATTCCAATTAAAATATAATATTTTATCATATTAAACTTCCCTCATTATGCCAGTGGAACTTTGCATATCCCTATATAACTTTTAATTACTTTGGCAATAGGAAGAAACCTGCCTGTCATACAATTGCAATGTTATGCCAAAACCAACCAAAATGTGCACATTTTATTGCCCTAGAGTTGATATATTTTCATCATTTTTCTAAGCCATTATAGAAAGAAGAAAGAAAACAGAAATATAACAAAGTGAATAGTTGGTTAGGTGTATGTGTGCAACTGTATCAATATTTGCATATGAGTGCACAAGTCTATGTTTGTGTGAGTGCATGCATTAGTATCTATTTGCGCTTGAGTGTATGTGTGTTGCATTTTTCTTTTCTATTTTCTTACACCTTTTTACTTGAATGGTTACATTCATAAGGGGACATGATGGCTCATTGGTTAAGATGCTGAGCTTGATAGCCTGGTTTTGAAACTTGAGTGCTGCATTATGGGATTCCATAATGAGATTCCATTACTCACCTGAGTTTTTGCCAATTTAGCAGTTCAAAAGCATGCAGATGTGAATAGAAAAACCTTATTCAGCGGAAAGGTTATTATGTTCTATATTTTCATGCTGGCCACATGATGATGATGATGGAAATGTCTCTCAGACAATGAAGACTCCTTCAGCTGAGAATCAGACATGAGCACTGCCTCCTTTAGTTTATCATTCACAATGGAAAGGCACTTCCATTATGTCTCTGCCATAAAATAGGATACATAGTAATTTAAAATTTCATTGGCAGACTCTTTTATTCAAGAGTTCCCAAAGGAAATATAATTATGAGATTTTGCTCAGTTAGAACCCCATGATACCCTAATCTGATTAGTTAGGGAGTTCTGAGTTTTATTACCAAAGGTTCAGTTTGGCAACCATTAACGCATTAACCATTAAAGTTTTTAAAAATAAAATAACTACAAAGGAAGCTATTTTGGATCTTTCCACCTAAAACCCAGGATTGAAAAATTTAACAAAACAGGAAACAGCTTTGCAATTGTAGAGGTAATATTGATAATAAATCTATTTATTAAACCTTAGATATCAGTTCTGAAGCCTGATTATATGGACATCACCTTATTTATTGGTTTTGACTTGGTTGTTAGACATTGGGACAGGAAGTTAGTTGGGCGTTCCAGCAAGGATACATGTGTCTGATCATGTTAGCCTTCTCAGGTAAACCAAATAGGAAATTCAACTAATTTCAATTTCAATTTATTGGCATTTGTATGCCGCCCACCCCCGTTTGGAACTCTGGGCGGCTTACAGGCAAAACAAACATATATTAAAAATTTAAGAAAAAAATACAAGTGTTAAAATATCAACAACATGCATACAGTTGGAGTGGGGCTGGATACTAATCAACAGCCCCAGGCCTGCCNCTTGCAGCCCCACTTCGAATGGTATGATTGGTGTGTTTTTTTTTTAACTGTGTGTGGTCTTTATATTTTGTAACTTTGTTTGTTTTTCCCCTCCCTTGAATTGTGAGCTGCCCTGAGTCCGTTTCAGGGAAAAGGGCGGCATACAAATAAAGTAAATTCAAATTCAAATGGCTGACTTCCTGTCCATTCTCCACGGCTGTCCCACTCTTCCTATTGTAGTACACCAAATACCAAACAAACAACAAGTACCAAGACAACAGTACCGAGACAAAATGTGTTGCAGACCAAATTCAACAGTACTCGACGAAGCAGTCGAGTACTGAGGTACCACTGTATAACTATTGCTGTGTCAGCTATGTCTTACCAGGCTTGTAATCCAAAATATCTGAAAAAAATTAGATTGTCTACAAATTCTACAGCTCATTTGGTACCAGCAGTTTTTTGGTGGGGCTGGGGGGAGGAGGCCGAATCCATGTTAGGTTATTCATGGAAGAAAAACAGTTTGTAAATCATGTGTCAGATTTCATAGACATGTCCAGGTAGCTTTCTTGACACTGGTTTGTCACTGTCTTGACACTGCCACCTTCTAATATATATATATTTACTTTACTATAGCCCTGGGATTCTTTGTCTCTTATTTAAATATTAATCAAACTTTGCTCTACTTAACCTTTGAGCCAGGGAAGATGCTTCCATCTACCGTGTTTCCCCAAAAATAAAACTGGGTCTTATTTCAAAATAAGCACTACGGCTTATTTTGGGATGAATGTTTTTTTTTTTTTCCAATGCTTGGGAGGCCCATTTCTGCTTGCTCTCAGTGGAGCAGGAGGCTGTGCAGTGTGTTGATACTGCTGCTGTGAGGCAGGGAAATGGAGCTGCCCAATGCTTCCCACACCGGCTTATCTCAGGTTCCCCACAGCCAGGCCTCCAGGCCCCAACACCTGCCTCACCTTCTGGCAGTAGCTCCAACAGCCCCATCCAGCAGGACCCCCGCATGGCTGCTAGCCCACATTTCTGATTGCTCATGGCCACAATGGAGCAGGCCTTCTTCATAGGCATGGTTTCTTGAAGTGTTAACAGTCATGGGCATTCTGCTTACAGCAGAACGGGGATTTATGGGAGTCATCAGATAACTTTTCCCAATATTGTTCATATGTAAAAAGAATGTTTAGATTCTTCAAAGCAAGAAAGAAGATAATCCATCAAATATCCACATCCTTTACCCTCTTAAAGAACATTATTTCTTTCAAAGCTTTGCATCACTTTAGGTATCACTTTGTTTATAACCTTGCAGTTACATCTCTAAATTAGTCTAAAAGCTAAGTTATGTAATATTTAGCATAGTGTTATCTATTGGTAATAACTGAATTTTGTTTTTTATTTAGGTTTGGTGCTTTGACAATGGATGGTGGCCCACGAAATGTAGATTGTATGTAGCTATATATTTACCATTATAGCTTTATTGACTTTGCACAGCAAGAACATTTATATGCAAAAAGAATATTCTCTTTTTGCATTTCCTTCAGTATTTAACAGAAATATGTAAATATGTATATACTGTAAATATGTAGA